AAGGTGGCTTCGAAGGCTCTTAAACTTAGGACAGGCCATGCAGGAGACAGGGCCTCCCAGAAGCCTCCTGTTTTTCTGCCCATTCAGTTGGCACCCAACCACCCTGCAGGCCTCACTGTGTAGACGTGCCTGAGTCCCAGGAGCTCAGGTCATGACACAAATCCAATGCAGACAGTTCCTGTGAACCAGGAACTCTTTGGCCCTTCTCCCAAACACTCAAGGACCCTCCAAAGGCCAGGTAGAAGAAAGAGCAGCCATCTTTAACATGGTGAACCCCAAGTTCAGCAGTGCTCTGCCCTGAAGCAGCCATCTTCAGATGACTCCTGATCAGCTAAATCCCTGGGACAAGGATGGGTCTCACATCTTTACCTCAAATGAATTTGGAAAGGGAAGCAGGATATATGCTCTGTGCTTGAAAGGGTGAGCCAGTGTATCTTTAAAGTACCATTGGATAAGCCCAGAGTTCTTTTACAAAATGACCAGGTGACTGTAGGTGTGAGTGTTTGGGTGTTTTTAAACAGTCACAGGCTACCTCAGTTTGTAAAGTAAAAAACAAAGTATACCCATTCAAATGCCAAAAGTTCCCATTACTCCAATATGGAGTGTCATAGGCCAGAGAACAGCCTCAGAGGAGGGCAGTCAGAGGCCTAGAGAGCTTTTAGGATGTCCATTCTACTTTGTTACAAATATGCCCCCCAACAATGTTGGAAGCCCAGGGTGCCCCCCCCCCAAAACACTGGCTAGGACCTCAACACAGGATTCATGGCCTTTTCCCCAAGCCTGGGCATGGCTGAAAGTGTGAAAGAGGCCCTGGCACATCTTGCACAGTCACCCGACCTGCAAAGGGCAGCAAGGCCTGTGGCCAGAAGCTCCCAAGTTGCTTGCCCAGTTGCAGAACCTGGAGTAGTGGCCTGAGGTCCAGCCATATGTTATAACCACAGGACCCTTTCATGGGGATGGGGCTGGTTGAGGAGGGGCAGCCCCCCCCCTCCAAGCACCTCTCATTTCTGCGCTTATTTCTTTATTTCTCCACTGGCTACACGGCCTCCCCTCTCTTGCACTCCCTCTCCGCCTCCTCCTCTGCTTTTATTGAAATCCTCCCCTCTCTGAGTGCCTGGTATAGCGGCCTGACCCCCAGGTCAGCTCCCGAGGGGCTCGTGGGAGGGCAGAGGAGGAGGGAGCAGGGAAAGGGCCAGACGCCCGCACACACTGCAGGCCGAGCCCCCAGCTCCTGCAACCTCTTCCTGAGAGGGGCCATAAGATCTTTCTTGCTGCCTCTATTTCCCAGAACAATTCCAACTAACCAGGCCAATAGGTGTAATCCTGACCCCCCTTTTCCTTCGACTTAGGGCACCTCGGGAAAATCCCACGTTTTAATTCCCAGTGAGTCAATCCCCCCTCTCATGCCTCTTAGGACTCCCTTAATACGATATTTTTAAAATCCCATGGAGTTGGAAAATGTATCCCTAAGAGATGGAGAAGAAGCCCTTCAATCCCACCAGCCCATCCTGCAATATACCATGGAGGGGGGAGAGTCCTTGCAAAAGGGGGGCGTGGGGGGTGAATGCTGCAAATTAAGTCAAAGGCGAATTTACTGGCCTGTTTGTCTACAGCATCAAATTTCTCCTGCAGTCAGCCCTCACCACGGGCCCCTTTGCATTTACAGCACCCCCCTCCATTCATTTTAACTCTAGGACTTAAAGTTAGACAAACAGGCCCCTTTGTCAGCAGCCCCGGGAGGCCACAGGAGTCCAAGAAGCAGCAAGCTCCGTGGTCAGCTCCTGGATTTTCCAAAAGTTCTGGACTGTTATATGCCACTAGAAACTCCGGGAAAAGTCTGTGCCTGGGGGGGGAGAGTTGGGGAGATGAGGGGAGGGGAGAGAAGGTGGCCAGGCACTGGGCCAGGGCCTCTGTGGTGCGGCCTAACCCAGCCGGAAGGGCCTGGCACCGATCCGCACTCGCCCAGGCCAGCTCTCCTGCCCAGCCCACAGCAGCCCAGCGGCCTTTTCGCCTGGAACCGCATACACAGAGTTCCCCTACAAATCCCCAATGCCAGCCTTTCCAGTTATTTTAGACTTGTTTTGAATAAAAGGAGTCGCTTCAAAAAGAAATGTTGCTACAACACACAACTAGCGGCCTTTTCTCCAGCTGTGTCTCTAACTCGCATGCGTTCAGTCTAATAACTTTTAATGTCTGGCCCTAAAATGTCTTTATAAAAAATAGCTTTACAGCATAATAGTCCAGGTGTCTTTCTGCTTGTTACTGGAGATTAAAAAAAAAATGTGTGGGTTAGCTTTCAGAGATGTCCACCCCAGAAAGACCAGGAAGAAAAAGACATGCATTCCATTCTGCAGGCGCGGGTCCTGGAAGCGCTTGCTCGCGGCCCAGCTCGACTGGGCACTGCTCGCAGGGGCCCTTCCCCGCCTGCCTTTTGCATCAGTTGTTACAAGCAGCTCTGGAGCATGAAGATTTAATTCTGCCCAAGTTTCGGGTTTCAAACGGTAGAGATGTTTCACTTCTGCTTTGAGAATGGCTGTTTTTATAACTATGTGATGAGAACTAAAACAGAATGAATAAAATCGCACCCAATATCAGTCCCAGTCAATAGTCTCATTTTTAAAAGGGAAAATATCTGCTAGCTAGAGCTGATTTTGGCCTTGACCTTGACTTAGTAATCAACTTGAGATGCTTTTGATTATTTTTGGCATGGGGACACTCCAGGATATTTAAAAACTTTCCGTGTGGATTTACAAACCACCTCCATTTCGGATTTATGTTCTCATCAAGCCTGCACCATCTTGTTCTTAGGCAGAACAGACACCCCACCCCCTTCCCAGCATAAAAGACCCTTGTGAGCAGCCCAACGGGGGTCACCTTTGGCCTCGACGTCCGCGCCCCCAGTCTGGGAACAGTTAGGCCGGAACACCCCTCCCCCACTCTCACCCCTTCCCGCCAGCT